AGGTTTAAGAAGAAAAGGTGTTGCGGGGGTGATCCTGTTTCTGTGCAAGCTAGTCTTCAAGGAACACTGGCTAGGGAAAAAAAAATGAGAAGCGCCATCATGCAAGCTGGTAATTCTGTTATTCCAGCATTTTTTGTTACTTCCTCTCGCGTGAAGGAGCTTAAGAGTCTGAACTGCATTCTGTCAAATCCAGAACAGGCTGGTGGCAATGCTTTCTGAGCCTTTTAATGATGAAAAGGAAAAAAAAAAAAAAAAGTAGCAACACCCGAGTTTGCTCTTGACAGCACAATGTTCGGCTTCACATCGCTGATGCGATCTTGTGCTCTGTCATTTCTCTGCTGTGAACTGCAGCGCTAGAGAAGCTCGTTCTGCGTACTGACATGCTGGTAATTTGTTTCTTCCTACGGAAGATAAGAGTGCATGTTACTTAACGTGTTTCCTTGGAATGTAAATGTGTTGGTGTTAAAACAAAACCAAAGCACTCTCTTCTGCAGACCTCTCAGCATGCTCTGGGCATGTCCCACCTCACGCACAGAGTCCAAAACGCTTTGTAAAATATTTTGCTGAAAACAGAGTTTAATCCAGCTGAAGTCACACATGAATTAGTGGCTGAACAGCAGGGCAGCCGGGGGCCCAGCTCTTTGCAGAAGGTGAGCATGCCGAGCCGCACGCTGTTAACTTGCGCCAGCGATGCCGGTCGCTGGGATGCTCCGGCGGTGATGTGCTGCGCACGCCGGCCAGGCGGAAACGCTGCAGCCTCCCCTCCGCTCCGTCTGTCTGTGACAGAAATAGGTTTCCTGCGCTTTGCTGGTTTTAGCTCACCTACAGATGTGAGTCTGGACGCCCTTCCTCTTCTGGGTGGCGATTAGAAAGCGGACGCGGTCAGGAGCCAGGCCAGGAGAAGGCAGCTCGGGCAGCGTACGAAGGACCGAGGGGCACCCACAGCCTGTGCTCTGCAGTGCTGGGGCAGGGGGCTTGTCTTCACCCCCGGAGCACGGCTAGAGGGGTGCACCATCACCAGGAATACAGTTAATAAATTAGGGAGAGGAAGTAGTTTTGGATTGGTTTTTGGGGTTTTTGTGGTTTTGGTTTGGGGTTGGTTTTTTTGTTTTGGTTTTTTTTTTTTTTGAAAACCTGTGAGCTAGTTCAAAATGAGGTACTTGGGGGTTTCTGCTCAAGCAGGATAATGAAATCTGTAATAAAAAAAATTCAAAGGAAGGTGCCTTCCCTTGGCCTTGCCCAGCGACCTGTCTTCCAAGACCCCCTTGTCATCTGGGAAGCATCAAAAGGAGCCGGGGGTCTTGTGAAGCCTGTGTGTCGGAGAGCACAGCCCTGCGCTGTGCCCCCCGCCCCGCTGCTGCACCCCAGGAAGGTTTGACGTTAGCCCCGCAGACCGCACCAGCGTTAAGAGGATCCGTGTATTCCCAAGCAAGCAGCGGGAATGTCTTTGCCAGCTCTCTTACCGAGATCTTTCAGCCAAACCGGACGGGAAGGCAGCTGGGATTTGGGGAGCTGGTGGCAGGCAGTGTCCAGCCCCGGGACCGGCGGCAAAGCTTCCGCCGGCAGAGCACAGGGTTCAGGCTGTGCCCGTGGCTTCGGTAAACGAGGAGCTGGTGCTTCGCAGAGCCGAGGGGAAAATTAGCTCAGGGTTTGCACTCTGCTTGCACGGGAAGCGGGACCCAGGGGAGCATTGCTGCCGGGAGAGCCCCCGCAGCTCCCCAGGGGACCGGGATGCGAGCGGAGGCACGTCCTGGGCTTACAGGCGAGATGTTGGGACCTTGCAGGAACCGGGAACGTAGCGTGAGCTTGAGGAGGGGGTGTTTCTTCTTGTTCCAGTTTTTAGGAGAGCTAGTGGAACCTTTTACGGTCTCCTCTTTCAACACAGCATTTTTCGTAGCTTTAATAAGTAAAAAACGGAGGTGGAAGAATTGCAGGTGTGGAGGGGAAGTGCCAGGATGCGTGCCGAGGGTTGCTCTCGTCCGTGAGTCTTCAGATGCCCGAGCAGCGTTTGCCCTTCTCTTCCTTCTTTGTTTTTAACGTATTTCACTACGTTTTGCTTTTGTTTAATTTTCGTAACTTTAATTCATGCCTTTTTTTTTTTTTATGTTTTGTTTTCTTTCAGTTAATCACACACAGACTTTCAGGCCAAGAGTGGACTTGGTGCTTTCATGTGTTAAGTTGCTTGAGTTTCCCACCCTGTGACCCTTCTCATAACATTGTGTGAGTGGACCAAAGTGAAAGAGAAAATGAGCATCTTCGGTGGTTGCAGTGTAACGACTCGCTGTTATCTGTACAGAATTTATTGGGAGGTTTTAAGGAAGTAACCTTGCCCTGTACATTTTGTTAAACAGAGTCAACTAATCCCTAAAGTAAGATGTTTTGTTCTAAACCCAGCGATTGAACAGCCGTGTATAAAGTGACCGTAACTGTTTGCCTGAGCTCATCTTACTCACCAGCTGAATACTTGCTTTCTAGACTTTTTGGTTTTTTAATCGGCTAAGGTGTCTGCTTGAGGCTCATCTGCCTTCCCCTGTACATGCACAAATGTGAGGAGTGGTGTGAAGAATGCTGAAGCTTTTATTTTTCTAACAAAATTCTCGAATAAGTTTTTAGAGTGGGTAGAAAAACGCAATGCTTAGACTTTCTGCCCTGTGAATCTTAGTCCGAGTAACCCTAATTCCAGTAATTATATATTTTAATCCTGAATTACTCTAAACACTTTCTACATCATTTATAATAT